GAGGTCTCCATGGTCTACTTGTCGGATACTACAGAGGTCAGTAAACTAGGTCACAGTATCTACTTCCTGGGAAATTTAGAAAGTCTCTTGCTGCAAATCCCAACCGTGGGTGGCGCAATACCGGAGCATAAGGTTTTGTATAACAACTATTCGTGCCCACCAGAGCAATACTACGGACTTAAGCGGTTAACGGACGGCGGTTCATTAGTGAAAGGCATCCGTAGCTGAAAGCGGCCGGAGCTTTAGTATCTATTACTATTGAAGTGGAACAATTGGCATGGAGGGTGAAAAGCGAACGAAAAAAAGGTGTATTATCTATCCAAACCTCCAGAGTTTAAGTATCCTAAGTACATTCTTATAGTCAGTCATTCGTTCATTTTGGTACATCTTTGCGATGGTCCCATATATAAGTAGTTGTATATCGCCAAGCCTTCATAGCGACCTAGCAAGTATTTAACTAACCAACCACTCATACGATGAATTTAATCCAACTGGATGCAATCGCTTATATCTAACAGTTGAGGCCCAATCACGCCTCCGCGTCGATCTCTCCCCTAGGGAGGGTTGCTAGCCGAGACGGGTTGATCCGAGGATGCGGGGGTGCGAAGATGCGAAGATGCGAAGATACCAGGATCACGCCATTTATAGCACTCCTGTACGAGGTGCTTAGTATATAAGTCACTATTGCACAACGGCAAGCATTTTTTGTAGCCGCCGCCATGACAAATATAAAACATGTTTTGGTTGACGATTGACCTGCCCTTTATGAAGCTCCATACGACTACAGAAGTGACGTTACTTCTCGTAACGAGAAGCTAATGATTTCGCATTTAGGAAGTTCGGAAACATGTGGGAGCTCAATTACCACATATAAATAAGCACATTGCACCTTGCAATCGTCACAGTACTTCAACTCGTACTATGAAACAAATTCGTTCTCTTTTCCGGATCATCTAAAGAGGCCATTGCTCGTCAAGATGAGATCTCTCGCCATTCCCATCCTTCTCGCCGCCACCGCGCGAGCATTTTTCACGAGCCCCCCGGATGGGCATCCTAACCGCACCATCGGCACCGACCTCGTACTAAAGTGGGAACTTCCCAACCCGCCTGCAGCCACGTTCGTTCTGACTTTAAGGGCTGAGAACTTAACCGCATACGGCTACATTCCGGGGCCCTTTGGATCTCAAATAGGGCTGTATGATTTGAGGGACGTCGTCCTTGAGGGTGAGTCCAGCGGATCTCTTACATACTCTGTTAGTTGGTTATAAGTTCTGACGCTTGCGATCAGAGGCCCTGCCACTTGCCAATGGAACATATACCTGGAAGGTCGAGCCCTCAGGCGGCGACGAAACTTTCATTGGCGAGGAAGTCGTCTACTTCCTTAGGGGAGACTGGGAAATTACAGGGACACCATATCAGAGCGGTGCGAGTACCGACTATTTCCATCTCGTGAATTAAGAACTGTTCTGTGGAATAGACAGACGGTTCTCACGTTGTCATGGGATGGCCGTAGTCTCAGGGGTCGAAGGGGAGCGTGCAAAGGCACCTACCAATAAGCTCATGGCTAAGAAAACAAAGGGCTACTGGTGGGCTTAAGACTTTACCCGTCACATCTCAGTATCTAGAGATCCGATATTCGTGGTCAAAGACTGAAAGTACCTAGGTAACTTAGGGGCTTCCGGCGAAGCTATATTCTATAGCCTTATCGAGTATTTATGAGATTACCATTACGTTAAAACCCTGATAGTAAGTTGCGCGGAGTATCAGAGAGTTCGTTTTCAAGTCTTCAACGGTCCAGTTTCGGAGAACTTCGTGGTAAGTTTTTAACGTTTGAAATTAATAAGACAAAGAAATCGTTTTAATGCTAGCGAAACATAAGAATATTAAATAAATGTAATGACGCTTTATGTATTTAAGATCAAACTAGCTTTCATGCGTGAATTTAGATTTATCTTAACAAGACTTACATCGGAAGAGATGGGCTAGGTGTGAATAGATAAGCCATGGTGAGGGAGAAGGCCAGGGCTTAATAGAAATATCAATTGATCTTTGGCACTTTAGGCCCCTGAGGGAATCTAGGGACCCTTTGTATAGCTAGCCTACGTGTATGATGATGCTGTCACCCGGCGACCTAGGCCGGGCCTTGTAGATGCTAACAACTATTATTTATAGCCTATCCTATCGCAAGCGGAACTCCCTTTACCGATACTCCCTTATTCTTGTCTTTAAAAAGGGCAAGTTGACTCTCGGTATTAGAATAGCAATCCTAAGAATAAAGCGTGCTGTGGAGCCGATCAACTCCCTCATGAGATATAAGCTCATTAATATTGAAATATTTTAGACTAGAAGTACGAGAGACCTTAGCCCACATCATCGAGATTTAGGTACTGTAATTGAAGCCCTTGTAAAATTCTTACTAGTTCTCATAACATGAAGGGTAACTAGGGCAAATATGACCTCGTCACCAAAGTAGTCGACATATTCTCTAAGTTTAGCAGGACCAGTCATTGTTACATTTCGAACCTTGTAGAGGGGCTTAACATCGACCCCGAAAGTGTGGCATAGGTAGGCTTTAATTGAACCATTGCTAGGGAATAATGTATCCGTTGCATCGCGGCGCTACCCTTTATTAAGGCCGTAGCTATTCGATCTGCAACCGGTGGGATCGTCACACCGCCACAATTTGTCAATAGAGCATTCCGTACCGACTCTTTAATAGTGATCTGCTAACCCAGGGCGAGGCTTGGCTAAATAGGACTGAAGCGGTCCGTGTCTCCTCGAGCCAGCTTCAATGCCTCAAGCCCCGAGGAACCCTGTGATTTGACTACATTGGTATAGTCCGACTTTAAGCATCAAATATATGATGTTGTACAATCATCTGAATAGCTTCATCAGATTCGTTGTTAGAGTACGTGTAGTTTCGGTAGTCGGTTGGTCTTTTGTTCCTCGTGTTTGCCTCTACTACGCCTAGTAGATCCTCTATATCCGGTCGGTCCTCTACCTTGACGGCAACACACAAAGCGACGAGATTCCTGATGTCCGGGTCCAGATTATTTATCCTGTCTTGGTGCTTCTCTACCACAGCGGCAGGCGCCCTATACTTGTTGCTTAACTTGTCTAGATCTGTGGCATACGAGTTAATAGTCTTCTGTTGCCCATTGTGTATGACATTCATCATTCCTGGTCCCCCCCTTACATTGCCTCTGAGTAAGCCGAGCATAACTTCTCCGATGGCCCGAATATTCGTCTTTGTAACGATGTCCTTTGGCTCACTACACAATTCTTAGCTTGGGTTGATATTGAAACGCATTCAGAGTACGTACTTGCCCCGTTCGGGTAAGTCTCGAGCCATGCCAAAGTCTATTAGTTTGAGTACCGGTACGATTCTATGCTCCTTAGGTTCCAGGTTATCGATCATAACTAAAACGAGGTGAGCATGTGTTCGCCATATTCGTAAATATAGCCTAGTTATCTTACTGTTCTGGCCATGGAAGTCTCCATGAAGCAAGCGAGACTTCGGAGGTCGTTCATATCCCGCATTTCGTGGTGGTGGGACTTCTAATTCGGGTTCATTGGCCGCTCTTACCCCGAGGTCTCGCGGCGGCCAAGCTAACGCAACAACCATTCTACATACTAGGGTTCCATTAGCTTCGGGGAAGCAGAGGTCTCTCACGGGCTATTACCCACAGCACAAAAACAGAGCCCAAAGCAGTCGATTAGGTAATGGTTGGTCCAACTCAGACCTCTTTTCATAGAATCTCCATAGAAGGCCATTTTCAATCCAATCCATGAGAAGTGTTGGGCCCTTGAGGGATTGCGTTACCTGGTTCCATACAGGAGTATCAAGAACATGGGACGGTTGTGCGATGTGCATGGATCCACGGAGCCGCTATGTATCGGGTTAGTGTATGTACCATTTATAAATAATATCTAGTTGGAACACCATTGACGTACATCAAGAGTATCGATCTCCTTCGTTATATTTTTCTCTCCCACCTCGGCTAATGACCTCTTCAGGACAAACCTTTTTGTACTTTGGGTACTTCCCGTAGACAAACTTAAACCGCTGAAGCTACCCGGGAGTTGAGATACAGGGTAGAGTCCCGGAGGGCCAGACGCCCAACTCATAGGATTGAAAGATCGAGACGATGGCATATCTAAGAGAGAGGGTAATGGCTGGAGCCCAGGCGCTTGACTTGCGGTGCTCGGCGAGGCGGATTCAGGTGTTCCATCAGATTTCATTACCATCTGGAGGGTGAAACCCCACTATTCCATTGAGGTTTAGTAGGTGCTATTACAAGCCTTGTTTCCGAATACTTTGAGATTCTTCTTGATAATGATAATAATAGGACTGAAGGGGAATCGACTCTGGGGACTACCTACTGCTCCTTGGCCTAGGATGCGCTCGACCGTAAAGGACCTGTTCGGTGCTTTTTCGAAAAATTGACTAACATAATTTGCTCCATTTATTACTTGCTCTGATACCTTGGATTCTCCTTTGAGCTGTCTATTCGCCATTTTATCCCCGGTGTGGCACTTGTAGACCTGATGTCATAGCCGTTTCATTGGGCATACCGTTTAACTAGTTATATAATACCTGTTAGCCTTACTAAGTGAATCTGACATAAGTGCTACGAGTGAGTAGAAACTTACCGTTGGACTTGCTAGCACTAAGATATTCTTTATTGCCAAACGATCTACCTATGATCGTTTTCAGCATACATGGTCCGGGCTAACCATTGGTTCTTTGTTCACGTATTAAAATTATTACAATTAGGATAGCATAATAGTATTAATGCCGATTGGGTCTAAGAATCCTAAAGCCACTGTTCTCTAATGCTAACAGCTGTAGCAACCATTTGATATTGGTACCACCATAGCCAGGTAGCTGGCTAATAAATTAATTGGCCCCACTCATTAGCGCTGGCCGTACTGAGTAGCTTGAACTTAGCTCAATCAAAAATACTAGCTGGGTAGCACTGGGCAAAATTGTAATGTTACGACCAGAGCAAGATTTGAACTTGCGCTCCCGAAGGAACTTGATTTCGAATCTTCGAGTCAAGCACGTTAACCACTCCGTCATCTGGCCGGAAATAACCCTTGATGGTTTTCACACCGGTAAAAGCTACAAAAACTATTGGAAACAACTAAAAGCATACGAATGATAAAATAAACAGTCCTATATCCATTCACATAAAAATTACGAAATAGAAATATCACCACATAGACATATTTTTAAATTATAAAAAGCATTGCTGTAAACATGTCCGGTAGCGCACGCAGTAGTAAGTAAAATCTAACGCGGCAAATACTTGTTGCAGGGCTGCCCTTGTATGATGGTTAAGACTGGTCCTAAATAAGGGCTATAGGGTGTTCTCCCCAGCTACCTATGAAAGGTGGCTGCCCTATTTCCTAGTAAAAAGACCTTAGTCTCCTCTCCTCTCTGATCGCCACTGCAGCTCCTTGGCATGTATGTAGACAGCAAGGGTCCAACCGATCTAGAATATAATCTACCTTCTTCACCCTAACAAGACTCATCATGGAATTAATTCAATGTATACACACTGCAATCTTTGTCTATTCCTACACAAAGGCACTAGGCTGAGTTCATGATTGAAGCCAAACAACTTGACAAGATCATCTCTGCCTCGGAATAGCTTTATCAATTGTCTATCGCCCTACCGTCCATTATGAACGCGAGTGACTATCGAGGCCGTACGCCTGCGATGGCAACATGGATCTGGTTTCTGAGGATCTCGCCGACCTGAGGGTGATTCTTAGGCGAGATGCCGGTAGTAATGGAAACAACGATACAACGGAGGATCATATTGTAAAGTCCCTTAAATTCTCTGCTGGCAAGGGCAGCGTTGACCTCTGAATACAGAATGATCGTTCTGGGGAGCTACCTGCTGAGAAATACCACTATATTTCCGAGCTTCAAGCAGAAAGCAATGGATACCAAGCTAGAGTTGCTTTGCCTAATACTCTGACTATGGGTACCCTCACCGTCACCGCAGTTGCTGCTTCCGGCTTCAAGCTCCCCTCACCACGCATGCTCCTCGCTATTAGGAACATACTAGGGAACACACTCGATATCCTCCGTAGTGCTAGTGGTTCACCCGCGGGCGGATCCTTCGCTCAATACATCCCGAACGTTGTCGCGGGCAACCAAGAACGCGCTGTGGCACCGCCACTTGAACGAGACCATTACCATTGTGTCACCCAGGAGGGTTTCAATGACCCTGCTTGCCTTCAAGTAGGGTACGGTGGATGTCTTCCAGGCTGGGTAAACGGGTCGACTGTTTACTTCGTTGTCTGCGATGAAAGTTTCAAAGATCCTAGCCTTGCCAAGCGTGTCAGAGATGAACCATTGAGGGCAATTAATATGTGGGGAGGTATCGGCGTGACATTCAAAGAAGCACGGCGCGAAGAAAAAGCCACTTTCCAGATCAAATACGAGGATTCGCTACCGGGCAGCACACGCAAGGTGTATGCATGTTCCTTCTTTCCTCAGACTACACCCGGCACCCTGTTCGTATTTGGACTTGCTCTGGAAACGGCCAATATTGGCTACCTAGCCAACATCTTAGCTCACGAGATCGGGCACATTTTGGGGTTACGCCACGAGTTTGCCGCGGACGCCGTTTGGAAGGGGAGTTCGGCGACTAGAGAGCCGGGATCCGTACTCTGGGGGAAGGAGAACGATAGTTCAGTCATGAACTACTTTCCAGACCTCAAGCAGTACAGTGTTCAAGATCACGATCGTCAAGAGTTGAGAGACTTTTATGTCTGCACCGAAAAGAAGCACAAGGGATTGGAATTCAAAAACTTTGAACCGGGATTGTTCAACTTCTCGGGATCTGGGGGAGGTATGTTTCGTGCCCTGCTATCCTGTATGGCCTCGAATGCGACCCATAACTGCGATTTCATAGTGTATATATAGCTAGCGGGTATATTTTCGTATTTAAAGTCATTCCATCTTGCACGGATAGCGGTATTGTGTGTCATAATCAAGCGTGCTTGTGAAGTAAATTTAAACTAAAAAGAATCTTTGTTATGGTCGCGCAAAACTATTCTGAGAATAAAGCATTGGTGTGTGATAGATAAACTGGAGCAGCTGCGAAAATTGGTACACTCAACGATACAGTTTGTATCTCGATTGGTCTAGTGGTAAGGATACCTGCTTGTCACGCAGGTGGCCGGGGTTCGATTCCCCGATCGAGAGCTCCTTTTTTTCATAGTTTGCGCAGCTTGAGTGGTTTTGTCCCCTAGACATGTATTGCTGTTGTGTTTAACCTGCCATGCTTCCAACTTATTCGTTCTGTACTTTTTTCTTTCTTTTACTTGAGGGTTTTGGTATAGGGGAAGATGTTCAAACGGTACGAAGCTGTTCGACTGTCCATTAAAAGACCTAGGCTATTATAATATCTAATGAATCTATATTTACAACACCATAGGCATAAAATAAGCAAATGCTTCGGCTTCCTATACTAAGACACAAAAGAATAAAGTACCTCACAGAGCCGCGTATGCGCCCATTCTCTGGAATGTAGGCAGAGGTCCCTAAAACAGCATATTACTCGATTCTCTTCTTTCCCTCTTCCGCATTGAGATATCTCGCTGTGCTTAGCCCGCGCTCGTGCCCGGCAACAAAAGAGCCGACCACTTTGCCTTTCCTGATCTTTCCAATCGTCTCCTGGTAGCCTTCTATAGCCCACGGGCGTGGGTTCAATTTGGGCCAGTTCACCTGAGTCTCATATTAGTACACTGGTTTGGATCGAGTCGGGGTTATGGTCACGTCTTGTGGATGGATGACTTACAAATAGCATGCCGTTCTGGATGATGAAGTTTAGGCACCAGCCACCCACTACTAGCCAGAAGAGGATGAATAAGCGCATAGGTAGGACGGTGGAATCCGGTAAACGTTTGCTGAATAAACCTAGGAAGACGAAGAATATGCTGAAAGCGAGTATGTAGGGAATACTTTGGATAAGGATTGGCCTACGGTCGGCAAAGATAAGCGACGACCCGATATTAGCTGCACTAGGCTCATATGCGCCTAGGAACAGATCATAGGCATCTTGCCGGGGACCATCTCTGAAATTGTTTAGGTAGTATCGAGTCACAGCAATGTTACCGTCTTGGAAAGTTCCTTGCTTGGTGCGCTTACCCAAGCGTGTGAGGTCTGTTTTCATGGCTCCAGTGCCGGCATATGCTTTGGATACTGTGTCGGCATTGTCTGCCCACAAATTACGGAAGAGAAACTCGAAGGCCGGATCTGCCGTGGCGAAAGTCTCGCCTCGTTGAAGTAGACCTAGATCTACAAATATGCGGTCCAGAGTCCATCTAGCAAGCATACTCTGGACGACATTCGTACGGTCAAGCGAATCCATACAGTTTGTTCGTACGACGCTCGTTTGGAAATTTCTCGTCTCGAGTCCGCCATTGGCGGGCATATCGACGCCTCGGAAATATTGTTGTGCTATTAATGCATCTTGTAGCCTATCGACTAGCATCATGGCGCGATGCATCTGCATCCCCTTAGTCTCGTGATGGAAATCAAAATAGACGTAGTGTAAACGGTCGAATTCTTGTTTGGCAGTGGTGGGCTCGATGACACGGAACTTCTCATCAGTAAGAAGGTCCTTATTGACAGTCTCCGTTTTTGAGCCGAGAAGCATCTTCACCATTTGTTCATAGGCCTCCTTTATCCGCTTCTCACGGCCCTTTTGATTGACTAGGTTGACAAGGTAGTTATCGCCGTATATGCGAATTTGCTCGTCGAAGTGTTTTTTAGCAGCAGAGAAGGCAGTTTCAATACCGCGAACCTGGAGCTTTGGTGTATATTTGAGAGCGTTGATCTCGGACCAGTAGACAGGCACACTGCCTCGGGTTTGGACGTAGGACATGATCTGCATTTCTCGGCCGTCGGACGCCCCAAACTTGCCGCTTTGCATATCGGTGCTTCCTGCGTACCCTCCTAGGCCACCACCTGCGTCATTCAACACCACAACTTGCTCTGTTTCATTGTAATTGGCGGCGTGCCCCTCCTCGTCAAGACCTCTGGTAAAGTATCTGGTTCCAGCCCTATATCTCGACTTTCTAGTTATAAGAACAATGGTTAGGGGGGTGCCCTTGAACTTAGTCGGGCGGATCTCCATGGTACCCCAGATCACTGGCAGGATGAAGGGATCTGCGGCTGGCTGGGGGCCCTGTTGGGATCGACTTCCCATTTTTCGGAAGTCAATTAGGTCGGACTGAACAAATCTGTTCCAGAAGAAGCGATCGTCGGCGCGCATCCAGAGAGGAGCAGAGTTATCGATCGAGGCTTGTCTTTGGAAGCTGTTGGTGAGGTCGATCGAATATGAGAAATACATGGGACCATTCATGATGTAAGATTTCAGGAGGAACAAGAACTGGTCTTCATCAGGGTCGTGGATCTGACGTTCTCGCATCGGCAAGAAGTCTGTTGAGATAACTTTGTACACCATATGCCCCTTAAGACGGCCCACGGGCTGGGCTTTCGTGATGACAATGGCATACTTGTCTATCCTCAACTAATTAGTCCTAACTGCCTACCTAGGTAGTTATCTTAGAAAAGAGGGGGGGGACCATACCTAGTCTTAGTTGGATGAGACCTAGGATCCCGGCTATGCTCGAGACACGAGCGACACGTTTGGTGTTGACGGAGGCGGTTTCGCTTAGGCGGACATCGCCTGTCGGCCGATCGATGACTAGAGCCGGGGCATTGGGCGAAGAGGGCGAGGTGAAGGTGTAGGACTCGGCGGCGACGTGGACATTGATATCGCGGTACGGAAGCGTCATGTTGGGCTGGAGGATGGCGCGGTCCGGCGCACGTTCATAGCTTCGAGGATAAAATGGTGGCTATCCCAGGAGATGCTGCCGGTCTAGAGCACTCTCTGTAGTACCCAAGCCGTCGTCGCGACCTTAAGTTCGGTTAAGGTGGACTTGGTAATAGGTAATTCTGAGGTTTGGGCTTAAGCTTTAAGCTCCTGAAATATGTGTACTGTAAGGTATTGACGGTATATTGAGAAAGTTGTCATCATACATATTCTTATAAGCCGCATA